ATATTTACTAAAACATAATTTGCATTTTAATTATTAAACAGGTCATTATAAGATGCCAAACAAAATCAAGATCCAAAAAATAATAATAAAAACAGGACTGACAAACAAAAAGAAAGAGAAAAAACTTCCCACGCAAACAAAAAAAAAACATGCTTAATCAAAACATATTGACAATGTGTCAGTTCACGGAGATTTTTCGGTTGGCCATTTGGCATTTCAACAGACCACAACAACAAGAAATACAAAACCAATTTACATTACACATTGAAAAATGTAAACGTCATCACCATAGCAAGAGACAGCTTCCATTTCACAGGGACTTTCCTCCTCCTCTTCCCTATAAATATTTGCATTTTCTTCCATTTCCCCATTGTCTTTATTATAATTTGTTTAAGAAAATTTTTGTTGTTTTTATTTTGTAGTTTTATGCAAATGCTGCCAATGGCAATACTGAATTTCTTTTTGTGGGGAATTTTCTTTTTTTTCAGTTTACTTAATTTAGCCAACGACGTCGCCGCCACATTTTGCCTCTAGTGTCTGCCAGTTTTTAAGTTCATTTTTTTCATAAAATATTTAAATTCCCAGTGGCCAAATTTAAATAGTCATTTAAAAAGTGTCGGCCAAAGAGATAGCAGGGGATTACCTAAGCTTTGGACTCACACAACACAAAAAAATTAAACTCAAAATATTTTATAAAAAGTGATAAAATCACCCAACCATTAGAAGGGTCATTGGTTTGCATTTGAAATGACAACCAGTTCATTTATACTCATAATAGTGGTGGTATTTACTCCAGTGATGGGGGAAGAGAAAGGCTCAATGGCGAATTACGGAAATAATCAGGGAAAAGTTTTAGTTTATTTGCCAGTGAAGAGAGTGCGAAATTTTGATAGGTAAGGCGATCTTAATATAAATACATACATTATCATCCAAAAAGTATTCGATGTCCACAACTAATCAGGACTTAAACCGAGAACCGTATTCATTTGGTGTCGAACAAAACACTACTGTCCATACTTGTTCGGTCGATAGAGAGCCATCTACTTTCAAAATTGGTCTTCTTGAATTAAATACCTCTACTTATTTGTTCTTGCATCAAATTTAAACACATTATTCAGTTTTTTTTTATTACATAGTCCTAAGCGCATTTATCACAAAAGGACAGAAAAATTAAAATGTTTTAGTGCCACCTACATGTCAATAGTGCTGCAGAATTGTCGAAGTTGAGATTATAAAATTAAGTACTGTACGAATGGCCAATATCGTAGCTCCATCCTGATTTTGATAATTTCCTGGATGAATCTTGAAGACCCAGACTTATTAAGCAACTTCGCAGAAAAAATCAAATTTAATTTAAGTAAAGTTTTTAGAGAAATTTGCAAAAATCTATCTGAGGATGTATTTTTCGACAAAAAGTACGCTGAAATAGATTTTTACCAGATTTTCTTACCGACCTTCGATAATAATTTTTAATTTATTCATCATTCTCTTTTGCTGCTGAAGTTTTCAAGTCCATCAAGTTCCATTACGCATATAATTATCCGGTAGATAATTATCAATATCAAGATGGCGCTCTTCACAATTTCACAATGAAAAAGAAAAACATGGATTTTGTCCAACAGGACTTTTTCAAAACCTAAGTTCAAAGAGTGTAATAATCGGAGAAACACTTATCAATATCAACATGGCGCTTTTCATAAAACATAGTGCATTGAAAAGTATATCTTTTGTCAAATTTTTAAGAGATTTTCCAATTAACCCGAATCAAATTAATTTATATTTCAGCACTTTTCTGAAATTCACAAAATATAAAAACGGCGCCTTCATTCTTAACCGCTAAAATGTTTAGTACGAATTTTTCACTCCTGAAAGTATGCTCATTAGTTTATAACAGCCAGACGATTACCCAGTACAAAATTGTCAATATTAAGAGGGCGCTGTGTTTATTAACATAAACTAAACAAATTAAGTATGAATTGCCCTACTTTCGCAAGATTATGTTTTAAAAAAACCCGACCTGATCTTGCAAAAAAATCATGGAATTTGTGAAAGGTTAAAGATGACTTTCCAAAACACCCGATTAATTCTAAAGCACATTTCAGTAGCTTTGTAAAACCCCAGAAAAGATTTTAAAAAGACATTTTTCTTTTTAGTCATAGCTTAAGGGTTTAAGACCTTTCCACACCTGAATGTATGCTATAGAAAATATTTCGATCAAAATGTTATTTTATGAATGTTGTTAAAAAATTTTAATTTTTTTGGAAACAAAAAGAAGTTGAAGGTAGATCTCAAATTCTTAATATCAACATTTTTTTTCTTCAGGTTCAACTGATATATAGGTGGCGCTACTGAAAGTGAAAATTATCAGCTGGGAGCATAGACGATGGCATTCTTATTCGGATTCATAGTATAAAAAAGAAGGTATCATTATTTCAAAATAACCTAATGTTTGCAACCATTTTTGTGGGAATTTTAAAGACATAACGTGATATAACGATATAATTGACGGGTCTTAACTTGGCATGTAGATGGCGCCTCCTGTGGCGGTGGTATTCTTGTTCGAATTCCTAATTAAACACGAAAGAACTTTTATTTTGGTCATAATATAATTGCTCAAAATACGGTCCAACAGGTGAATGACAAATTTAGAATATAGATGGCTCTACTGAGATTAAAAAATGTCCATCTGAAACTAGATGGAGGTATTTTTGTTCAGATTCATTGAATTCCTACTCAATAAAAAGGCACTTTTATTTTGACTACAACATAATTGCTCAAAACATCAATTGCAAATTCCTGATCTGAAAGTAGATGGCTCTACTGGAAGGAAGTAGGTATTCTTGTTCGGATTCATAGTACAAAAAAGGAGGTATTTTTATTTCGTACATAACACATTAGTTTAAATTTGTGTGAGAATTTCGAAGACAAAATATGATACAAAGAGCGGCACATAGGTGGAGTTGGTACAATTTGAAAGTATCCTGCATGAAACATACACAATGGCATTCATGTTCGAATTCCTGCTCAAAGAAGGAAGCTACTTAAATTTGACCATAACATAATGTCTAAGAATTTCGGACAAAATACAATTGAAAACTACTGACCCTCTAACTGGAACATAGATGGCCATAATAATATATACAACAGGTTAATTACCTGACGCGTGGATAGCATTACTCGTATTGATAAGTATACGCTGTGAAACAAAGATGGCCTTACCCTTATTCAGATTTATACTACCTGAAGTTGTTATAATTTCGAGATTTTGAACATTCATAATCAGATTTGGATCTTTCATTACCACTTAGATCGAAGCAAATGGAACATAGATGGCGGTATTTTTCATGTTGACCATAGCATTATGGTTTGAAATTTGTGCGAACAGCTTGTAGAAAAAGACAATACAACAGGTTAATTAAAAAATCCTGCCGCTCCCACATAGATAGCGCTACTAGTATTGGAAAATATTCGGTCTGGAACATAGATGGCGGGATTCTTGTGCTGAGCAATAGTGATACGGTGCAGAAATCTGTAGATTCTCAACTTTCATAATATTCTCAACTTTCAAATATAGACCCTTCGTCACTACTCATGTCAACGTATATGGACTTTATGGAAATGCAAATGTTTTGTATTTTCTAGTCCTGTAAAAAAACTATTTTTTTGAAAAATTTCCCGAATTACTGCCCATATTCAAATAACGCACACTGTCTCCTTTCACAAGCAAACAAACGACAATAGACAAAACCCAAACTAACAAAATGCAAAAAAAGGAAAACGACACAAAAAGCCCGAGACAAATTATTGGGTAGAGAAAGCTAATAAAAATTTCAAGCAATTGCCACGTCGCCTGGCCTTCGAAATAATTGTGGGTTTGAATAACAAAAACAACAAAAAATGCAGAAAAAAGTTGGCTTACAACATTTAGACTGAAATAAAACCAAATTAAAGCGACTGGCTTAACACAAACTAATGACAGATTTTTCTAAATGTCACCCAACTTCTTTCCCTCCCTGCATCCCACCCCGCAACACACTCACCACAACGACCACCCTTAATCTGCCTCGATCTCTTTCAACATACTCTAATTTGACATTTGGAAAATCAAGTGAACTGACTAATCTAACCACTAACCACAGAAACGACGATAAGGTCCAAGAGGCGGAAGAGGAGGTAAAGGAGGGAAAAAGTGAAAAACAGCAACAACAACGAAAATAGGAAACCAAATTGAAAGAAATTTCCTAAACCGTTGTCTCCTTGCCACTCGTTGCCATTGAAGCTGTTGGCCGTTGACGACCGCTTGTCGCTTGATTCTCGGCTGCTAAGCTTAATTGTGGCTGGGACTGGGAACGCAATTTAAGAGAACGGTTAGCAGCAGCAGCTGCTGGTGGCGCCGGGGCTTTACGCAATTTCTGAATGGGCTTTTGAGGACGTTTGGGTGGTAAAGGGGGTGGTGGTGGCGACATTGAGGTGCGACAATTTAGCGAGGTGTCACTGCTACGTCGAGAATCGAAAAAGGATGTGTTGCTGTAAATGGCCTCCTCTTCAATCGTGGCATAAATATCTTCGCTACAACCCTCCGCCTCATAATAGGTGGCCGCATTTAATGTTTGCGAATTATAGCGGCGATGTAGCGAAGATGTTGACGAATCTATGGAAAAGGATGATGTGGAGGAGAAGTTTACCATGCCTGCGGTGCTGGTATTTTGATAATTGTTTGCAGTGCTGTGATCTAAGAGGTCAGAAATGCTGGGGAATTTCAAGTCACTATACGAGGGGGTGGGTGGAGAGGTAAGATTTCTAACCTCATTTGGTTTTGGTGTTGTTGCTGTGGGGGAATGGTTTTTGTTATTGCCAGAAGTGGTGGCGACGTTTTGTGGAGGAGGACTTGTGTTCGCGTTGGGAGAGTGCTTAACATCATTGCTGGGGGATGCTTGGTTTTGTTGTTTTTCTGGTGGCTGTTCTTGTTGTTTTTGTTGCTGTTCATTGACTTCACTCACCACTATTTGTTGCTGATGCATATGCAGCTGTGGCGTATGCTGTTGTTGCTGAATGAATAGGGGTGCAGCAGCGGTTGCACCTGCACTTACACCTGCCAGCACAGCCTGTGGCAGCAGCACATAACCACCGCCGCCCAAAGCTATTATCGACTGTCCCGGGGCCAAGACATGAGCAGCACTTGGCTGCTGCGGTTGGGGCAGATTCGAATATTGCACCGGTAATATTTGAGCTGTGGGAAAGATTTGTGTTGGCGACAAGGGATTATGTGGTAGGACAGTGGGAGCTGAGGTAGTGGTGGTTTGTGTTACTGGCACCGGCACTGTCATCGACGTTACATTGGACCCTGAACTTGTTAAATCCAAACGTTGCTGGATTGCAGCATGATTAGAGGGAGTAGAAGTAGAAGGAGAAGAAGAAGAAGAGGGAGAACAAGAAGATGTGGAAATAGTTTCTTTGTTAGTATTACCACTTTCACTAGCATTCTTAGTATTGGGGCTGTCATCTTCACCATTTACTGCCGGCTGTAGAGGTGGTGGGGGTAAATCTTTCTTAAGTGTGGCATAGGATATGGGAATTTCGGTAAGGGATGGGGGAGGGGGTAGGGGGAAATCTAGATCTTCATTTGAATCGGCTAGGGAATTTACCATATGACGTTGAGGCTGATGTTGTGGCTGACTGCTGCCGCTGGGCACTGGTGGGGCTTTCTCATGGGGTGCACCCAGTTCGGGAACATGGGTTTTATTTGCTGTCGAGCGACGCAATTGGTTCCTTAGCTCATTCTCTTGCAGTAAAATTGTGCGATGTTCCTCTTCGCTAACCAAAATGTTGTCCGGTGAATTTTCGTGTATGAAGTCAGCTGGACGGCGTTGGGCCGGTGGTACCTCATCTATGGACGGCACCGCATAGAGAGTGGGCACTGGTGGCGGCAGAGGTGGCAAAACTTCCATGTATTGGGATTCCTCGCTAGTGCCCAGCGTCGGCTGCAATTTTGGTGGAAGTTTAGGCAATGTAGCGTAATTTACCGGTGGTGGAGGAGGACTATCTTTGGGTCTTGGGGTGGGACTTTTGGGTGTTTTAACCCTTACCGGTAGCTTGGCACCCGGTGTTGATGGCCTGGTCACCTCGTGTATTTGATTGGTGGTGGGATCATGTTCAAATACCGCAAAATCGCCATGACCAACATCAGTATTCTGAAAACTTTCCAAGGCAAAATTATGCATTAGATCGGCTTTTTTCAATTTCGGCTTTGGCATAAGGGGTGGAGGTGGTGGTTTTCGTAAGGGTTGTGTGGAAAGATTCTCCGTTGATTTGGATTGCACTGAGGAACTGGAAATCCTTTCCGCTTTCAAAAGGTCTTCATTGGATTTCCAGCCGGATTTGGAACCAAAGAAATAATTCTCTCTGGGCGAACGTGGTGACTTTGATATGGCCTTGGCAATCTCTGTGTACTCATCGGTGCGATTTTTATCTAAGAACGCCTCGCGGAAGGGATTATCCCGTTCTATTTCAGAGGAGACCAAGACCTTTTCGGCAGGTGGTGGTGGGCTGGCCATACGACCACCGCTAGCGTAATTTGGTGAGGGTGAAGGTGAAATGGCTCGCTGTACCACAGGGGATTCGATCTCCTTTATTCTGGCCACTGTCGGCACCAAGGGTGGCAGTTTTTCGGGGCGTTTCTTCTCCAAAGAAGAATTATTGGAAGACGAAGGACTGGTGGCACGTAAAATTCCCTTACGTGGCAGCCTTGAGGGATTGTATTCTTGTTCGGATTCATAGTGCCTTGAGCTGTAATAATCTGGAGTCTTGGACCGCTCATAGTCGGATTTGGATCGTTCATCACCGCTGAGGTCAAAGCTAACAGATTTACGATGATGACCGCCATAGTTGGAAGAGGAAAGGTCTGGTGTACTGCGCCCGGAAGCAGTTTGAAGTCTGGCCTTGTGTATTCTTTGGCTATCACTTTCCGAATCGCTTGTGTAACGTGGAGCAGGACGATTTCTTTCATAAAAATCTGAATCGGTATCCAGATGTTCACCGGCTGGTGTTGAGGGTGATAGGGTGTCATCGTCTTGATTTTCTTCTCCATCCTCCTCATCGTCGTCATCATCATCATCGTCGTCGTCCTCATCGTCATCATCATCTATGATATAGACCGGCTCCACTTTGACTTTATTTGAGGCTACCTGTTCCTCCTCCTCCTCCTCGTCGTGCTCACTGCTCTGCGTTTCCATTTCATTTATCATTTGCTTATATTCATAATGAGGATCCCTCTTCATTGAAGTTTTGCTTCCAGATTTAGAGCTCTGTTTGAGAATGAATTCATTGAGGGAGTTGTTTTTATAAAAATCAGGTTGTTCGATATTTTATGATTTTGTTTTTAAGAAAATTCAATTCAAAAAGTCGGTTATTTGTTTATCACATTATTGGTGTGCGTGTTTGTGTGAGTTTTTTTATTTTTATTTGTCATTCGGTGTTGCAAAAAAGAACGGTGGAGATAAGAAAAAATATTAGAAATTGTGTAATTTTTTTATTAAAAAAAAAAAAACAATGTTAAATTATGCAAACACAGGTGGAGGGGAAAGTGACACACACAGAGAAAAAAAGACACAGGACGCTTTAGACTGGAAAGGTATGAAGGTAATGATGGTGTGTGTGTGGTGGTGGTGGTTGGGATATGTGGTTTTGCATAGTGACGGACGCTACAAAATGCATATAGCGTTTTCCAATTTCCATTTCATTCAGTGATATGTGGGTATGGGTAATTGCTTTATGCGTGATGATAGTAACACGTTTGAGGGGGACAATGGGAAATATGGGATGTGAATATTTAGCTTACGTTTTATTTGAGAGTAATTTTGCATTAAGCCCTTGCGGGAAATTTTGACGAGCTTATTTTTCTTTTTTGTCCACTAAAAGCCAACAAATGAAAACAAAAAACTAATAATCTATATAAGCTGATGTGGTTACCAATAGCTTTTTTAAGCCAATGATGATAAGACAAAGAAACGTAGTGATAATGAACGAAGACAACGAAGTGATAAGTAAGAGGAAAAGAACTGAAATTTATAAAAAGGAAGAAGATATTGCAAGCTGCTAAAATTAGCATACCACAGAAAATTATTATAGATTCGAATTATTCAGAATAGTTTTATATTGCAAACGTTTTCATAGAATACAATGAAAATGGGCATATAACTCCATAATAAAGATAAAAAACCGAACATAAGGAATTTAAAGTTTAAAGAGGGGGGTAGATGATGAGCAAGATCCCCTCCCTACCATATTATAAGATTAATATTCCTTCAATTCATTCTAGTATATATTACATAGTGTCTTCGACAGAATTAGAGATAACACAACAAGGATTGTTTGGTTATAAAATTTTTAATCCTTAAGAGAAACCCTCTCGAAGAGGTCACTTCAAAATATGGTTAACAATTCCCTATAAACGGCGTTAATCAAATTACAAATTTATTTTTCATAAAATCCTACTATAGACCCCCGAAGAAGAAGGAATAAAAAAAATTTTCACAAAAAACCAGGCTGTACTTCATGTGCAAATTCGCCCACAGTGAAGCATAAAAGTCATATAAAATTTCCTTTTAGACTGAAAGTGTCAAATCACTATAAATCTCAGAATAAGCAATATATCTAGGAACACTATATTTTTAATCAAAATTACATTCGAAGTTTATGTACTACAAGTGAAAAACAGTAAAGAAAGTCCTAAAGTCGGGCAGGGCAGATTTTATGATATCCTACACCACTTTGCTAATTTAGTTGAGCTCCACATAACAATTAAAAGTTTTTATGGGAGAATTCAATCAGACACCCTATGATTACAATTATAATTTAAAATTCAAAGAACTAAATATGCCGAAGCATTTGTATCTTTTAAATTCGGACTTGTATTGCCCATTTGGTGCAAAATTAATTTGAAATATACGGGAGCTATATCGAAATCTGAACCGATCTCGATAAAATTTGGCAAAGATATTTCTGAGCTGTATTTGATATATTTCCCTGAATATCGTTGTTACGGAGTGCATATTACGGCTGTGGGTGACAAATACAACAAATCGGATGAACAATATATATGTGAGCTGTAGCTATATCTGAACCGATCTTCACCAAATTTGGCATACTACCTTCTAGACGCAATTCGCTCGTATGTGCCAAATTCCATCCCATTTCGGCAAATATTAGACGTTTGGTGCACAATAAAATTTAAATCGGACGAAGTTATATATGGGACCTATATCCAAATCTAAACCGATCTCGATGAAATTTAGCAAAGGTATTTCTGAGCTGCATTTGATATATTTCCCCAAATATTCTTTTTACAGAGTGCATATTACGGCTGCGGAGGACAAAAATAACAAATCGGATGAATAATATATATGGGAGCTATAGCTATATCTTAACCGATTTCGATCAAATTTGGCATACTTATTTTCAGACCTAATTTTGTTGTATGTGCAAAATTCCATACTATTCGGACTGATATAACACGTTTGGTACACAATAAAAGGCAAATCGGACGAAGTTATATACGGGAGCTATATCTAAATGTTCTCCAATTTCAATAGGGTTCGTCCTTGGGCCGAGCAAATGTTGTTTGTTCATCTCAATCGGATAATAAATGCGACCTGCATTTTGTTCACAAGAATACATGGACAGACGGACGGACGGACGGACAGACGGACTGACATGCATATATCAACTTAAAAAGTGATTCTATGCAGATCATCAAAAGGAACTATGGGTCTATCTCGTTTCCTTTTGCCTGTTACAAACAAATGCACAAAGACATAATACCCTGACCACCTTGTGGTGTAGGGTATAATTATGTGTATGCTTTTTTACTGTTAGTTTAAGAGGTTTTCAATCTCAGTCAAAATCTCCCGTTATACTTTATTTGTAGGGGAAATACGTTGATAATTTCTGAAAATTTTCGTATTTTTCCCAATTCGCAGCAAATTTTCTTATAATTTGTAAAGGGATCTTTGGGTTACATTCAGAATCAATGGCACAGAAAGTGGGTCATATCTGTCTCCTTTTCGAATGGTCGCCCTTGTGAGGATTAGAAAATTACATTCGAAAATTATTTATTTCCATTCCATTCACCATTACTACTTCCTTTTTGGGGAACATAGTATTACTTCAAGAATCATTTGTTTAAAAAATTGGTAATGTTAGTCTGCTTTTTGGTAGAGACCCCATATAAAGATTACCAGAATTTTAACAATAGTTTATACTTCTTTGAGTTCTTGTTATGTAAAAACGCTTCTAAAAAAGCTCCACGTTTTGGTACAGCCCTTATATAAATATCACTTGATTGTAGTTATTGTTGGTGTTTTGGCCATATTTTCGAATCGATTTGCTAAAATCTGTATAATAGATAATACTTTAGAGGTAGAAAATTATACTTCAAAGTTATGCTTTGTAGGAGAGTTTTGCAAAAACACTTTTGAATCGCTACGATTTCCTTTCAAGTCGTTATCCATATTTTGAAAAAAAAAAAAAGAAGAGCAAAACGACCCCTTTGGTGACTCGCCTGGGGGTTAATATTATCGAAGACACTGCAAATCTTAAATTAACGGATTCCAACGAACCTTAATCCGAAAATGTCGAAAAGTTAAGAAAATGGATATGTTTCTACGTCTACTTAGGTTATTAATCTAAAATCAAAATATAAGTACTTTTACAACCCATGAGCCCGGTCTATTCGACCATTTACACAAGAAGTAATTATCATGTGAAGTCTTAGAATTGTAACTCAATTGTTTCGCATGAAGTACTATTGACTCGATTTTAATTCCCGAAAAGCACACATTTTTTAAACAAATTTTTCAAAACATGTTAAGATTCTCAGACAAAAACACACTTGAAATTCTGGAATTTCAACACTATCTAGTACGAATTTCCAAAAACTTCAAAATGTGAAGAAGTAGTAAACAAAAAATTAACACTTGAGTCACATTTTAAGTACATTTTAATATTTGATCTTTTTTTGGTATTTAGTACTTTTTAGTACAAATTCTCATACACTCCAGGGTTTATAACTCAATACCAGAATGAACCTCAAGTTGAAATAATAAATTTGGCAAAATAGTAGAAAATTTCACATTTAGTATATTTTTTGGTACAAAACAATTACGATATTTGAAATCTTAGATCGCAGAAGAACCAGAACAGGCAAAACTACTACAAACATGCCGATATTCTAGCTTGTTAAGTAAAAAAAAAATTGGGCAGTAAAAGCATAAGCACTATCTTGTAATTTTTTAGTCCAAATTTCTAAAAGCGCCACCTTACTTCATTCCTTTCACCAATAGTGACCTAAGTCAGGAATCACAAATTCCGGCGAAGCGCTTGCTTGAGGTGATCGACACTTTGGTATTTTTTAGTGTCAAACTTGCTTTCCAAAATACTCCAGACACAATAGTCCAATGGATTCGTATCCGGAGATTTTGTTGACCATTGTGCGCTGGAAATTAAGCGAGGAACATAATTTTGTAACCATTCTTAATGAGTGCGATGTTGCTGAGTCCTGTTTTAATGTCCAAGATCTGGGACCAAAATGTTTGCTTTAATACACCCTCCAGAATATTTTTGCCAAAATATTTGGAATTTATTCTGATGCCACGGTCGATTAATACGAGCCGAGAGCGAACTTCGGCACACACAATCACCATGGCCGGCTCTTAAGCTCTGGTGCAAACCGAAGGTGCACATTTTCAGCTGACCTCTTTGGCAAGTAAACACGATCATTTTGTTTTTTTACAAACTGCTGGACAACGAATGTTTTCTCAGCAGACAAAACCAAATTCGACAGTTCACCACTTTCAGCAAAGCGAAGCAACTCTTTAGCTCTTTTGAGTCTATTTTCTTTGTTAGGGTGGAAGTTCTTGCACTTTTTAGAATTTCAATGGCTTTACCCCGAGCTCATTTTACAATACTTGCCGAATGAAATATTGCGATATGTTCAGCTCACGACCCATTTTTCGGCCACTGCGACGTGGGTTTCGATCAAGTCGCTTCTTTACTTTTCGAACCATTTTTGCTGATGTTGTTGTTTTCTTCCGTCCACTTTCTTGATGTCGGGCTACGCTACCAGCATCACGGCAACGAGCGATGGTACGAGACACATAAGATTTATTCACATTTAAATGCTGGATTGCTCTAACGATAGCCACTTGTAGTTTTCCAGCCATATATAAAGATATCACACTATCACGCTTGAATTCCATCACAATAATTAATTAATAATTATTCTTGAAAATTCTCAAAAAATGATTTA